GAATTCTGGGATTTCTTTTTGACCACAGGGAACGTGTATCCGGTAAATAGTTCTAAAACGACACTCGTTAACCGAGACTTTCTTTATCAAATCCAACCCCTTCTGTAAAACAGAGCTTTTCGGTTCTTTCTAATTAATTCTCAAATCACCGACTTGTTTTGATACCGTTAACTACCGGTAGGGCCCACATATATCAACATATTAAGTAGTTATATTTTTTTTTTGCGAAGAAATGACAAAAAATATTGGGTGACATTATTGATTTTTCTATACGAATAACGTAGCCTCTCCAACACCGTAATTAGTTGCAATAGGTTTACATAATCTTTATGTGACTCGTGTTATTAGGGACCCTTTAATTAATTAACGAAATGACAGACTCACAACAGGTTGGTGCATAAAAGGCTAAAACAAAGCATCATACGCCATCTACATGTATAATTTAACAATTCCTTTCACAGACACACACTCAAAACCTTTAAACCACGATGGTTGAGAAAATTGTTTCATAGCAAGCAAAACAAAATACCAAAAATGGTCATACGTTTAATTTTTATGCTTTTTTTTATAATATATATAAAATTTGATTTTTTTAAATTCGTTTTTGTAAAAGGCAACTTTTTAAATTTATAATTATTTGAACTGAGGAGCCGTGTCCTTTACGCTCAATATGCGCGTGCATAGGGTCCTTATCTCATGCAAAATTTTTCAACCGAAATTAAGGCAACATAAAAAAAAAAAACGGCTTATGAAGTAACAACTTTCAAAAATGGGGGCCTGGCATGGCGTTGCGGGTTCGAATCCCCGTCGCCGATCATACTCGCTCTTTCAGCCATAGGGGCGTTATAATGTGACGGTCAATCCCAATATTTGTTGGTAAAAAAAGTAACCCAAGAGTTGGACGGTAGTTGGTGTTGACTAGCTGCCTTCACTGTGGCCTGTTACTGCTAAATTAGGGACGGCTAGTGCAGATAGCCCTCGTGTAGCTTTGCGCGAAATTCAAGCCAAACAAACCAAGCTTTCAAAAGTTGGGAAATACACAATTTTATGTACAGTCTTGGTTTGTTTGTTTGTTTGTTTGTTTATTTCTAATTAAGCACAAAGCTACACAATGGGCTATCTGTGCTCTGCCCTTCACAGGAGCCTCGTGTAGCTTTGCGCGAAATTCAAAGCAAGCTTTCAAAAGTTAGGAAATACACAGTCTTGGAACTTTCGGAGTGACGTCACGTCCTGATTCCATCTTTTTATGGGAGCACCCCCAAAATCTCTGCCGCTGGACAAAGAACTCCACCCCCACCCCCTACTCTCCAATGAGTAGGACTGTTATCATCTGTTGTAGGTCAGTTCTATACTCACTCCAGGATATAATTATAACAGACAAACACGTTCTAAAGTTTCAATTTACTCCATAAATAATTAAAGCAACATAATTAACTTGTGATCAGATAATTACACCATTAATTAAAATAAAATAATTAGCCCGTGAAGACAGTGCCCGAGAGCAACAACAATTATATTTACGGAAACAGGAAAATGGGGTCTTCTCCGCAACGTACTTCTAAAGGGCTGTTTGCCATCGTAATGAATACGAAACTGTATATTTGACCAAGTAATTACAGACCACCTTTTGTACAATAGTAGCTTGACATTTTATCCGAGAACTAGGAGTCTTTTATTATTTCTTTTTCTGTCAAACATCGTGTTACATTTCATTATTATGAATAAGGTCTAAGCGAAAATAAATTAAACTGTATAATAACAAGCCAATCGCACCATATCCAGTGCCGACGAGACTTTTTATCCAATACCAGGGCTTTTCAAGCCGGCTGGGAAGCGAAAAATATAGTAACGGTTGAGACACTATTTATATTTGAAAAATGCTTGACGAGAGCTGGTATAATCTACTTCCCGGGTCATGATAACAACAACCCACATTATGAACATAAAAACTAATGATTATAATTATAGAATATTTTTTATTTAAATGTTTCCTTTATGTTTCTGGCATTCGATAATAACGTTTTCGTGCTCTTTTTCTTCTCTTACAACACTAAAAATCTGGTTTCGATACCCGTTGTGGGCAGAGCACAGATAGTCCAGTGTACAAACATAAAGTTGTTTTCTTCTCTTTTCAGCTTTGCTCTTCTTGTGCCTCATTGAAATTTCTTGCAATTTCTAAAACGTTGTTCCTCATGTCTCTGATTTTGTTACTTTGCCCTCTTTTTTTCTCCATGTTCATTTTAATTACAATTGTTTCTGTTCATTTCCCCCAGCCATTGTTAAGTTTGTACCTCTTTTTATATATATTCACTTCATTTCTCATTGTTTTCCTCAGATATCTTTGTCCTCTTTTCATATACATTCACTTTTTTCTCATTGTTTTCCTTAGATATCTTTGTCCCTCTCTACATATCTATTCACTTTATTTCTCATTGTTTTCCTCAGATATCTTTGTCCCTCTCTACATATCTATTCACTTTATTTCTCATTGTTTTCCTCAGATATCTTTGTCCCTCTCTACATATCTAATGAGAAATAAAGTGAATATTTTCCTTAGATATCTTTGTCCCTCTCTACATATCTATTCACTTTATTTCTCATTGTTTTCCTCAGATTTCTTTGTCCCTGATTAAGTTTATCCTTCTCTTCGAATCTGTTCACTTTGTTTCCGGCTCTCCCATGACACAGCCTTATGTATGCGGAATTTCAACGCTAGAAACCGGGTTTTGATACCCGCGATGTAGAGAACACAGATATTTCATTGTGTGGCTTTGTTTACGATTGTTTATGCTAAGGTAAAACCTCGACACTTTTAATTTTGTCCTTCTTTTCGCACATATTTATATATCTTCGCTTTCACTTATTTCTAAAAGACTAATGCCAATTCATTATTGTTTTCATAACTGAATCTTTTATTAATTAAACATTATAACACGTATTTAGCAATTGCAAATACGAAAAAAATAAAATAAAACGCCTTTTCTCTACAGCGTCATCTTGGACACGTATTACAATATGCTTTAATACGGCAGTTTTCTGCTATCGTATTATTTTGGGCACGTATAATATGGTAGTTTTGAATGCGTTTTTTCTTCTTCTTTTTTTCTTTCACACCTATAAAATATTTAATGTAGATATTTGCAAATACAACTACAAATGATAAAGAAGAACGGCTTTGGTACAAATTAGTCCTAGTTGATACCTAGTTTCGCACTCGATGTTAAACATATCGTCCCTCTAGTGACTAAAAATATTAAATAGATATGGAGTGAAAAATAACACGACAATTGGTTATATTGTGTCGATCCATAAAGGAAACCTAACTTTGTTGATTATATGTTTTTGTGAAAGACAGCTGTCGAGAATTTTTGCTTATATAACTAAAATTCGGGATTCGATTCCTGCAGTGAGTATAATGTATGTAGCTCGTTGTCCAGCTTTAAATATTACAGAGGGAGTCAATAGTGGAATGTTGCCTGGGCGCATAAGCAATATTTTAAACGCATAAAATGTATATTTCTTAATTAAAATGCCACTGCCACCAGAGGGTTTATTTGTTTATGGAATTTCATGCAAAGCAACACGAGGGCTATCTGCGCTAGCCGTTCCTAATTTAGCAGTATAAGACTAGAGGGAAGGTAGTCTAGTCATCAGAACCCACCGCTAACTATTAGGTTATTCTTTTACCAACGAATAGTGGGATTGACAGTCACATTGTAACGCCCCCGCGGCTAAAAGGGGCGAGCATGTTTGGTGGGAGGGGGATTCGAACCCGTGACCCTTAGGCCACCTTGGACATAATCAAAAGCCTTGAAAATGGTATCATGTAAATTGTTTAAAAAAAATCCATTATACGTTATTCTCCCAAAAACCGATAATTAGGCTTCTCTCGCACACATTCACGTTTTTTTTTTTTTTTTATATACAGTTTATAATAGATACTACGATCTGGTGAAATTTCGGCAACTTATAACTTTCTGTCGAATTATTTATTATACATTGTCTGTTTGTTTGTTTTGAATTTCGCGCAAAGCTACACGAGGGCTATCTGCGCTAGCCGTCCCTAATTTAGCAGTGTAAGACTAGAGGGAAGGCACCTAGTCATCACCACCTATCGCCAACTCTTTTACCAACAAATAGTGGGATTGACCGTCACATTATAACGCCCCCGCGGCTGAAAGGGCGAGCATATTTGGTGTTATCGGGGATTCGAACCCGCGACCCGAGCGCCCCCTAGCCTCCTGGCCATGCCGAGTTTTATTATACATATCTACTCTAAAACACGCACACACACACACACATGCATATATATTTATCTATATATTTATCATATATATTTATATTATCTATTGTCAGTAGGATATTTATGGTAATTGGAGTGTTACAACGATTTTGGAAGAATATTTATGGTCTTTGGAACGTTGCAACGGTTTGTAAAGGAGTTTTATGGTTTTTGGAAGTATAAAACGTTGTCAGTAGGATATTTATGGTAATTGGAGTGTTACAACGGTTTGTTAAGTAGTTTTCTGGTAGTGAAGATACGCGGTTGAATATAAACCTTTATTTAGTTATATAATTTCTTTGAATTAGGAAACAATTTAATATAAAAAAAAACTGGTACGGAAATAAATTGAGAATAAATTTCCATAAAATAAACAATTTAAAATATTGTAATGAAATATTCTGACGTGTTTTAGAGTAGATATGTATAATAAAACTCAACATGGCCAGGAGGTTAGGGGGCGCTCGGGTCGCGGGTTCGAATCCCCGATAACATCAAACACGATCGCCCTTTCAGCCGCGGGGGCGTTATAATGTGACGGTCAATCCCACTATTCGTTGATAAAAGAGTTGGCGGTGGGTGGTGATGACTAGTTGCCTTCCCTCTAGTCTTATACTGCAAAATTAGGAACGGCTAGCGCAGATAGCCCTCGTGTAGCTTTGCACGAAATTCAAAAACAAACAAACAGACAAATAATATATTTATGTTTTGGTTTCAGGTCGGTCAACGTCGAGCTACGCCATCTGTGCTTGGTGCCAGAAAGTTGGAATGAAGCTGTTAACGTTGAGAAGCAGCACGGGAACTAAGGCCTTTTGTAGCGAAGTGTGCTTTACCCAGTGTCGAAGAGCCTCGTTCAAGAAAAAGAAGACGTGTGATTGGTGTAAACACATCAGACACGCGATGAATTACGTCAACTTAGAAAATGGTGAGAACGCTTTACGTTTCTGTAGCGACAAATGTCTCAACCAATACAAAATGAACATTTTTTGTAAAGAGACCCAAAAACATCTTCAGGTGCACCCTCGTTTCCAGGAAACATTTCGCAAGATAAATCGCAACGCTACTGAAAATATTATTACTCCAGAGTTGTGGCTTCGAGACTGCAAAGACGAAAGTTGTAGGGAAATTCGACGAGATTCTTTGACGTCATCAGCAGAGAAAACTGGAAAAGTTCCTTTTACTTTAGACGATAGGATCCCATCACTGGCTACTAATCGGACTACAGCCAGTTTTCCAGGAAAGTCTAATAAAAAGGATTTCAAAAGACGACATAACGTCACTTGTGTCACTAACAGATGCTTATCCACTAAAGATTTCTTTCAACATCAACCTAAAAGTCCTCGCTCGAAGTCGACCAGAAATCAGATCATTTCTCATTGGCCAACTAATCCCAACTCTCGCTTTTCTACAGCACTTCGAGAACCCAAAGTTTTATTTCCTGCGCCCCCCATTGCGATTCCAGATACAAATAAAATTCGAACGTCTGTACTACCATTTTTCAACATGCGTTCACCATATTTAGGCCAACAATATGTTGATAGTCTTTTTCATTTACAAAAAGATTTAGGCAAACAGAATCCCTTGGGTTCATCTCCATCTAGTCTCCCCTCGGTGCTTTCTGAATTTCCTTCCAACGCTTGTTCGATAAATACGCTTAATATTTCTCGGCCAATGTCTGTAGACACGAAACCGCATTCTTCAGTACTTTCACATTGTTTAACCAATTCATTTGACGCATTTTCATCTACGCTTCCGGTAACCGTAGTTGTTCCATTTCCAATTCCACTCCCAATACCAATACCAGTGCCAGTTTTCCTTCCTACATCTCGCAGTTTTCTGGATAAAAATTTCAAAACAAGCCCTGACAACTTTTACATGACACGTGAGACAGAAAAAGGGTTAAAAACGAATATTGGAGACAAAAATCTTAACTTGAAAACTGACCAAACACTCTCTCTTCTGCCACCATCTGTTTTAGGTCCAAATGAGTCTTTATCTTCTAATTTTTTTGAAAGCAACTTATTCAGCAATACTAAAGAAGACTCGGTTATTTCCCAACCGTATTGCAATGAGTCTTTTGAACACTACAAAGTTTTGGCTGATAGCAATAAACTTTTGAAAACTGAAAAAAACAGTGAGAGTGGTAATACTGATGAATTCTTTGCCACACGACTCGAACAAGGAGTAAACAGTGAATATGGCTGTGGTCTTAATTGTTGTAAGCCTCTCGTTGTACCAGACAGTCATGATGGAAAACAACGACCGTCGCCTGAGTCCCAAAGTGTTGAAATACAATCCAAACGTAAATGCTTTTGAAATAAGACTGCTTCCTTCTGAACAAGACAATTAGTTATGGATGACGTAAATTTTTTCGTTCTTTGATCCTATATATCTTTTACGTGTTTAATTCAGATGTTGAAATTAAATGTATTTTAAATGTTATTGTTGGTCATTTCAAAGATGTAATACCTAAAGATAAAAAGTAATTTGGTATTCGAAAATATGCGAATGTCTTAACCAATGAGAACATCTTAACGATAAGCCCTAGCCAATGAGAACCTCTTAACGATAAGCCTTAACCAATGAGAACCTCTTAACGATAAGCCTTAACCAATGAGAACCTCTTCACAATTAGTCAAGCTGATGATGATGTTGGAGTGTTTGAGTGCCACTCCTTTTGAAAGTGTAAACTTTAAGTAATTGTTTTTTTTATTTATTCTTCATTATTTTAATGTTTTGATAATTCTTGGACCATCTTATATAATGTGTATAATATAAATTCATAGTTAATCTTAACAGTAATTCATGCATGGTCTGGCAATCAAGGAAACAGTTTGTTTTATCGTTAAGCATAAGGCTACATAATGGGCTATAGGCGTTGTGCTCACAGAGGATATTGAATACCGATTTTTAGCGTTATAAGCCCTCAGATATCGCGGGAAAAGAGACACTAGCCCAAAATGGGGTGTTCGAGCACGTTTTATCTTTAAGTGTTGCCCCCTAGAGGCTCAGCCGTATGTCTGTAGAATTAAAACGCTAAAAACTGGGTTTCGATATCCAAAGTGGGCACAGTATAGATAGTCCATTGTGTAGCTTTGTGCTCAACAACAAAGAAGACAGAAGTGTTGGTAGATGTAATGATAATGACAGGGGCACCCTCAGCGAAAGTGATCTTTTAGAACAGTGACCAACAAAAAATTTTAATAAAAAGGACACATCAACAAAAGTTCAAAAGTAACCAGTTGTCACTGAAATTAACAAAACAAAAACCAGATTAAATAGTTCTGGGTTTGGTTTAAAATTATTCGATGGCTAGCTGCACTATCCGTCCTTAATTTAGCAGCGAATCAGCAATACCCACCGCCAACTCTTTTACCAACGAACAGTGGGACTGACAGTCACTTAATAACACCCCCTATGGCTGAAAGGACGAGCAAGAACCCACGACCAGCAGATCGCGAGTTGAACGCCCTAACCACCAGGGCCTCAAGTGGTTCTGCAAACATATATATTGAAATCTACATCTTACAATACCTGATGAAGGTTTCAAAACGATCAGCCATACAGCTTTATTAGTTAAAATTTAACAAGTTTTTTCTTCTTTCAGGTTATCACTCACACCTTCGGTGAGACTCGAAATGAATCACATGAAACATGTGTGTTTATGTTGAACGTGTTCAATCACATCACCAAAACATGTGTGTTTATGTTGAACGTGTTCAATCACATCACCAAAACTTGTGTGTTTATGTTGAACGTGTTCAATCACATCACCAAAATATATGTGTTTATGTTGAACGTGTTCAATCACATCACCAAAACACGTGTGTTTATGCTAAATGTGTTCAATCACATCACCAAATTATATATGTTTATGTTGAATGTGTTCAATCACATCACCAAAACTTGTGTGTTTATGTTGAATGTGTTCAATCACATCACCAAAACTTGTGTTTTTATGTTGAATGTGTTCAATCACATTACCAAAACTTGTGTGTTTATGTTGAATGTGTTCAATCACATCACCAAAACTTGTGTGTTTATGTTGAACGTGTTCAATCACATCACCAAAACATGTGTTTATGTTGAATGTGTTCAATCACATCACCAAAACATGCGCGTTTATGTTCAACTTGTTTAATCACATCACCAAAACATGCGCGTTTATGTTCAACTTGTTCAATTACATCACCAAAACATGTGCGTTTATGTTCAACTTGTTCAATTACATCACCAAAACATGCGTTTATGTCCAACCACATTACCAAAACAAGTGTTTATAATTCTTTTAAGGCACATTGTACTGGTACATTAAGAGTAAAAATTACTAAAAAACGATTTCTAGCTAAACTTTACAATTTGTCGAAAATAATTTTATTGGTTAAACTTTAATGACGAAAAACTCGAGAAATTTTATTTCAGTCAAAATTCGGTAAGAACGTTTTTGCGTTTACAAATATGGGGGTTCTTGTTAGACTCAAAGACTGGTGAAAATTACTGTCAGTTCTGAAAATGGGTGATATCCCTTAATGTCTCCTAATAAATAGTTTTTAATGGTGCTATTTATTTCTTAAATGTGTTTGCTATTATCGACACATCATGTTTCCAGACAACACTTTGTTAAAGGCCACTTGCTGTTCATCCTCATGTTTCTGGACAACATTTTGTTAAAGGCCACTCGCTGTTACTCCTCATGTTTCCGAACAACACTCTGTTAGAGGCCACTTGCTGTTCTGGACATTTTGTTAGAGGCCACTTGTTGTTCCTTCACATGGTTCTGGACAACACTTTGTTAAAGGCCACTTGCTGTTTCTCCTCATGTTTCCAGACAACACTTTGTTAGAGGCCACTTGTTGTTCCTCCTCATGTTTCTGGACAACACTTTGTTAAAGGCCATTTGCTGTTCCTCCTCATGTTTCCAGACAACACTTTGTTAAAGGCCACTTGCTGTTCCTCATGTTTCTGGACAACATTTTGTTAAAGGCCACTTGCTGTTCCTCCTCATGTTTCTAGACAACACTTTGTTAGAGGCCACTTGCTGTTCCTCCTCATGTTTCTGGACAACACTTTGTTAAAGGCCACTTGCTGTTTCTCCTCATGTTTCCAGACAACACTTTGTTAGAGGCCACTTGCTGTTCCTCCTCATGTTTCCAGACAATATTTTGTTAAAGGCCATTTGCTGTTCCTCCTCAGGTTTCCAGACAATATTTTGTTGAAGGCCACTTGCTGTTCCTTCTCATGTTTCTGGAGAACATTTTGTTAAAGGCCACTTGCTGTTCCTCCTCATGTTTCTAGACAATATTTTGTTGAAGGCCACTTGCTGTTCCTTCTCATGTTTCCAGACAACACTTTGTTAAAGACCACTTAATGTTCCTCCTCATGTTTCCATACAACACCCTTCTGTTTGTCAAGAGTATTCTCTTAGTAAGTACCAACCATTTCTCCTTCATTTATAGTATATATATGGGTTACTTCCATAACCTTGGGATTCTGTATAACACTATATATATGGGTTACTTCCTTAACCTTGGGATTCTGTAGAACACTATATATATATATGGGTTACTTCCTTAACCTTGGGATTCTGTAGAACACTATATATATGGGTTACTTCCTTAACCTTGGGATTCTGTAGAACACTATATATATGGGTTACTTCCTTAACCTTGGGATTCTGTAGAACACTATATATATGGGTTACTTCCTTAACCTTGTGATTCTGTAGAACACTATATATATGGGTTACTTCCTTAACCTTGGGATTCTGTAGAACACTATATATATGGGTTACTTCCTTAACCTTGGGATTCTGTAGAACACTATATATA